CACATTGACAGACTCTACCATCAGCTCCTCATTGGTCAACACTAAATTCAGTATGGACGGTGACTGAAGGTTGCCAAACCTAGTAGCCACCTTCACATGGTTGTAAAGTGGATGCGAGTCAATCAGCCGTTTGAAATGATGTTCGAAAAATGGGCGAACGGTAGTTGATTTATTGAGATTGGGGCAGTTGAAATCCCCCATAAGGAGAAAATGAGTGAATTTTTCTGTAAGAATGCGTGACATAGTTAGTAAAAGCGTCTCATTGGCCGTCTCCGAGGATGATGGGGGACGATAGACTACACCAATCAAACAATCATCATGTTTGGACAACTTCAACCTGCACCACAGAGTGTCTGGTGTCGAAACGGGAGGGTAGATTTGCTCGCAATCAAGCCTGTTTCGGAAGTAGAGCAAAACACCACTACCACGGGTAGGACGATCGCTTCTGAGCAGAGACATCTCTGATAAAGACAATTCGGTGTCCGAAATATCAGCTTATGAGCCACGTCTCTGTAACAGCAATAATATCCCATTGACTAGATATAAAACGTATATCCAACTCTGGAAATTTGCCGAGGAGTCCTTGAGCATTAGAGTAAAAACAGTTTAGATATTGTCGGCGTAGAAATCCGCTTGGATAGGAAGTGGTATCTCGGTCGGCTACCTTTAGTTTTTTAGCAGAGGAGATCTGGTACTTTGGACCACGGGTTGCGCCGCGGAGTTCGGTACATGCATGGTGTGGTCTGATGCATCAGAAGGGTTCTCCAGATTTTGGTGTGCTTTGAGCCCGGGATTGAGTAGGGGTCTCACACGTAGTTTTGGGGGCCCTTTGTTCTTTCTTTCCCGCCATAGCTGTAAGACTGTGTTCGCCATTTCTGGAGTTCCAAGGGTAACTTTCATTATCCTCGGACCGTTACCACGGTAATGTGGTGAACAGGGAAGACGACTGATTGAAGTTGTCAAAACGTCGCTACACTCAAGTAGATTTTGAATGAATCGCCATTCCTTTCGGTCGTTCTGATGACCTTTTGGTTCATCCGGATCGTCCAATTGCGGGACATCATGGAGAAGTACGACCCTCTTATTTTCCTCCACTCGTGCTCTCATTGGATCGGACTTTTTCTGCATTCGTTCCGTCCATGGCCTATCAGGGAGAATTCCTATTGGGCAGGAACTCTTCCTGAGAAGGTAAGTAGAAAGAAGAACGTCCTCCAAGTCCTTATCTTCTTTCAGGGTCACCCGGAGCAGTCTGGGTTCCCCGGCATGTGGCGAAGTCGGCTGGCGCATGAATCTTGTGAAGCCGACGGGTAGAACATTAATGCCCATCTGCGCGCACAAACTATTCCATTGTACCATCTCTTCTCCTTGTCGTTCTCTAAGTGGTTGGGTTGTCGGTTCGGGTACATTTGTGCAGTACATTTCGTGCAGTGCCGTGGATATGCAGCGAACAGCGAACACTAACGTTTCACCGGAACGGATCCTGGCTCTGGAGAATAAACTGCGCACCAACGACCGTTTATATTGTATTGGATAGAAATACAGATCGGATGAGTTATCAGTCTTCTTTTTTAAGCAGTCCTAATCCCAAGCCCAATCCGATTCATAGTAGTGACCTTTGGCCTTCGTATTGGTTGATTTGTCTTCCCCTGTGTGTGATCGCCTGTCCCCAAACCTGTCACTCTTTTAAGCAAACGTGATCTGCATTTGTGTACACAGCTGATGAGATTACCACGAAATAGTTCAATTCAACACATCCTATGGTCATGATGCCTCTTCTCGCTCTCATGAAAACGTTAAAAGGAACTGGTTGTATGAAATATTTGTAATCCCCAACTTTGGACAGTTGATACTAAAATTATACGTTCATCTCATTCGGTCCCTTATTTTTTCCATTGAATTTGTGATCAGCTGCAAAAACATACTAATAATTTAAATATTATTGAGGACTGAAACAAACATTTGGCGGAAAATTCCCACCAAAACATCTCATATCCGGCTTTTCTTTGGTGAATATAATACAATCAGTATGTGTGCTTCAATTTATTATAGACTCAGTTCACAAAATTGTACAAGTGTTTACACAATAATAACAAATAAGGTTTCCAAATGAGGTGTCATTTACAACACCTATTGGCTTCTCGTTTTCCACATTTTTCGTAGCAGTAGTTTATATTGCACGGTGAGCAGGCCTCCGGTTTACTCGGCCTTCGCGGTGTTTTTGGAGTACTGCATTTTCGCATAACCAGAACTTCTATTTTTGGGGATAGAAGATAATAGAAAATGGGATCGTGAAAAGGTATTGCGAATCAGAGGATGAGCACAGTCTATTATGTTGCAAATGAATCAAACTATCTGACGTTTTCAAGCCCACAAACAACTAAATGGCCAAGAATGGTTACATTCGACGACAGATTCCACAACGAAAACAACCCACAGTTATTTTGGGGAAATAATTTGTAATATGAATCGTCTGCGCTCATCCTCCGTAAGAAATGAGTATGAATTGCAAATGCTGAGAAACTTAATCAAGCTGTTCGAGTTCAAATAACACAAGAAGAACCTGAGCGCAAAATTTTGAACCGGATTTCGGCAACCGCGCTCTATACACTGATCAAATCTATTAATGGATTTAACAACAAGACAAATAAATGAAAATATTTTGACACCAATTAAATTTCCAAGGAATGGTTTGAAAAATCTAACCGCTTCGGTGTTGAAATCTTTTTTAATTCGATAGCCGAGTTTCTTTGATTTACATTGTTCAATCATCACTCCATAGTCTGCTGTCACAAGAAATGCGTGACCTTTGATTCTAACTTTGTCCATTTCTTCTTGGTTATGTTGAAATGTCTTGTAACAAAGAAATCTGATGAAGTCACGTAATTCATGCATGCAGACCCCAAAAAACCGCACAGTATTGCTTCAGTAACAACCCTCTGGGTTGATACGCAATCACTCATGAATTGATAGCCTTTCGGAGCTCGTTAAATCATTGATTCATTATTTTAACATAGACTGACTTACCAAATTTGGAAAACATGGGAGGTCATTACACTAAGAAGTAAGTACTGTTCTGTTGCAACACATTTTCTAAATTACCTTGCAAATGGCCAGGTCTTGCTCCCCCAACTCACACGGTCAGCATATGTCTCTTCCTATCTTCCATTATGCGTTCCTTCACGGAAATGCGAGCTTCAGGTGGTGCGAGAAGAGTGGAACAGTTTGACTTTTCGCCCAAATTTACACATGGTGAGACCATGTGTACAGTCTGAACTGTGTGCGAAAGATAATCTAACAAGGAATAATCTGGTGCAAGTGATGAACCAGTTTTCCAGGGCGTCACACATCAGTAAGAGTGCTAGAATGTACAGATTTACTGAAATTTATCTATATGTAACTCCAAGCTCCCATATGTGAGACAGAACTCACAGCATTTCCCGAAAATAACAAGAAATGCACGTTGTTACAGCTAACTAGTGCTCATCTATATGTAGCAGCTGGCTAGACAAAAGAACATACAGAACGTGTGTCGTGGAACGGTAAAAGGCATCATTTCAACTAAAAAAACGTACCTTTTGAATGGTTTGTTTGTTCGGAATTTTGCTGAAATAAAATTCAATGGATCATAGGAAATCAGTCATGGTAGTTGTCCTTGGAATAGTCAGCCAAATCAAAAATCAATACAACTAAGTGACAAACAGCGCAACGATGAACGCTGTTTGTCTCATTTTGACATACAATAGTTTGCTGAACAAGGTGTGCGCTAATTCTGGGTATTTTCTGAAACAACTCAGGATATACTATTTGTGATTGAAAACAGGAGTACAAGTCAGTCACAAACGATTAAATTCAAGTGAATATCAAATTCTGAAGGTGGCTCGTAAGATTCAAACAGAGTTGCGAAAATTGAAAAGTATTTTGGTTGTCAGTCATACATTGTTAGCACTTAATTAAATAACGTATGAGGTATTAAGATCAAGATAAGGAAGTAAGTTCAATTACAGGTTACTATTATTTGGAATTTCTCAGTATTCAGTCATCAGTAGTGAGGGCAGAGGGGAGGATAACCTGTGACACCGTCACCACTAGAAAGTAGAATGTCCGATCAAATGTGATCGTCCCTCCAAAGCCCCTTATTCAGCTCATCCAGAAGCCACTTAAAAGCAACGTCGGTCTTCTCCTCCACCACAGTCACTAGAAGGGAATTCCAGAGCGTTGTTGAACTCTGTTCGAGTGTGTTCAAGGGTGTTCAGATCTTCTTGTGGAGTATTCCGATCCTCTGAACCCTCGACTGTACGCGAGATTTTGATGTCATTCACAAGTATAAGTGATGGGCTGCACAGCTGACCGGAAAATCATTGATATAAGCCACGAAGAGGAGTGGACCAAGAATAGAGCCTTGAGGGACCCAACTGGAGACAAGATACTACGTAGATAACGACCCGGCAACACGGACGCAGAATTTCCTGTCGGTAAAACACATTGCAGTCCTTTCAGCATGGTCTCACCTACGCCAAGGCTAGACAGCTTTAGCAGAAGGCAGTGGTGTGGCACTTTTTTGAAGGCCTCACTGAAGTCCACGAAGTTGACATCCGCTTTGTGACCTTTGGACTTGTCTTCAATCCAGCATTCATGGGCTAGGAGTAGGTTCGAGAGACATGAGCGACCCGGACGAAGACCGTGCTATTGGTGGCACAGATGACCATGGCATATGAAATGCTGCCGTGCAGCCATTTTGAATGGAGTATGAGTTGTGCGCATGTCTCACTGGACCTTTTGATTCGTGGTTGCTTTTTGTATGTCCCCTGTCTTGCAGGTTGTGTGGAAGCCCCCTCCACGGAGAACCTACCGGGAAATGTATGTCCTACCTGGGTATTGAGAGCGTCGGTGAGTGGCCAGGGATTGTGTGATCTTTTGGGACGACGCTAGTCGCAAAAGAACTCGAACTGCGTTGCGCGGAGTCAATCTGCCAGTGTCAGAGCTTGGATCGGCCCGGCATATTACACAGCCACCAGTCGTTCTGCTAGTTTACCCAAAACACCATTAAGGCTGACTGGTCGGTAGTTTCCAGAGTTACACTGGTCTTCACATTTGGCTAGTGGCACAATGGCTGCATCTTTCCATTGCCGCGGTAAACGTCCTTGTGTGAAAGACACATTGAAAAGATTTCACAATGGCACTGCAAGTCCGTTTGCAAGTTCCCTCAAGATAAACGGATGCACACCTTCAGTTTCAGGTGACTGGTGAACGTTCATTAGACGCAGCTCTAAGACAACCTCCGTGACTGTAAATGGAGTTCAATTTGAGGTAAAACCAAAGCTCAGTGGATGCGACGACGTGTCAGGTACTGGGGACTACCTCGAAACATAATGTGATGCCGACATCGCGGCTTTGTACTCATCCTTTTCAGAAATTAACCCTTCTTTTACGAGAGTTGGGGGGCCCGGAATAGTGCATTTTCATTAAAAAGGATATTTAGATTTGAAATCCATCGAACGTTGTCAATGTAAACAATAGAGAGCACATGAACCATCCAAAGTCATAAAAACTCACTCTTCTATTTATGGGTCTAGGTTTGGTTCGCCCGAGGCTGCTGGATCTCATACGAGGAGGTGGTCCGGGTTGGACGAGGTCCCGAAAACCGATATCGGACACCTGCATTCCCTTCGGTTCACGATGCATACGAACGTCAAAGGCGTCATCTTTCGAGTGCCAAACGCCTTTTTGTTTTCGTTCTACTGAGTTGGGTGATGTCACAATGATGTGTTGCTGAGGGGAACCGGCAATTGGAAATCGGGCTGTGAAGCATAATTTGAATGGAAATGCGGTTTAGGAAAAGGTGTTTCTAAACAATATTAATCCCTCGTAATTCACAATAGTTGATCAAGAAAAACAAAACAAAAGGAGATAAAGCAGATCAGCAAACAATAACGATATATGCCTGTTTCAATCAATGATTTATTGATTTCAACTGTACCAAACAGATGTGATCAAGCATGAGAAGGGATTGAAAACAAAAATAAATAATTATAATTATAATAACACCGGAATAATCAAAAAAAGAACTGACCGATTGGAAAGTGATTTTCTTGCTGGTGGATTGAGGAGGAGAAAAAACAAACCAGAGAAAATAAATCTTACTACAATTACAAACAAACTACTGGTGATAAGCAATAGGAAAGCGATAATTTTATCATGCCACGGTGTTCTCTAGCAGCTAGTCTAATAGGAGTGGGTTCGGGTCACAAATATCTTAACACATTGCTGATTTTACCGGTTAATTTTCGACCGTACTAGCAATAATTTTGTTTTTTGTACATCACTGATTCAACTTCATAGGTTGAATCATACCTGTTATCAAGTCGAAGACGAACGTCAGCAAAAATGTTAACATAGTGTTATTTGTACAATGCTCACTATTCCTTTATATAAATGAAATGTCAGCATATTTGCGCGGGCAAACAAGCGTTTTTAGCAGCGTACATGGAAAGAAAGAAGAGAAGAGACGGAACGGTGAACAAAGTCTTTCAGTTATGCGGTAGTATTGATATGCAGATAGATTAAACAGACTGAATGAGTAGCTACAGTTGGGTAACTGGCTATACTCGGGGTAGTGTTAAAATGTTAAAAACGCAAAGCGTTCAGTAGGACTCTTTCATAACAAAGTATTCTCGGATAGAGAGAAAACTCTTGTGAACACCTACATATATCACTAGAAAGCGATATTCTATTTGTTTGGATTTGTCATTAGGGCGTACATTCTTTTTGTGCTTGCTGGTAATCAGATATCAAACGTTTTTGATCTGGGCCCTGAAATTCCTTACTCGGAGATACATAGATAGTCAAGAAGACAAACTGGAATTCAGCCAAAAAGCTACCTCAAAATTGAGGATTATATAAACACTTGAAAATTTAGGTCCATGCAGGAAAAAATGTGCGTACCCTGTATTTGTGAATTCGAAGGCAATCGAATAAAATACACTATCGAAACATGAATCGCCCATGCGATTATCTGAATTTATTTGGGAACCTTTCTATAATTTGAACAGAACCAGACTACTGATAAAAAAAGTGAATTTCTGTGAGATGCGTTCGAGGAACACAGTATGAAAATGCTTTGGGGGCAATGTTCAACTCTATTTCGCCCGTATCTGGAGCCGCAAACAAAGCATATCAGCCGAGCTTGTAAAGTTTCGAATTCAGACGAACAGGGGTGTAAACCGTCCACATTGTGAACGGGTATAAAGAGTCGGCTTATTTCGAGCCAATAGACGTACAACAGTGTGTGACAAGATAACCTCTGAAACAAGAAAACAAGTATTCTACTTTCATTGGTTATCAAATTTGAAAAGTTTTATACGTCCTCTATTTGTGAAAAGACCTCGAACCTTGTTAGGATTTGAAGCCACGCAGAGACACAGAGACTCCAGTTTTGGATTCCCTAAAAGGATTCAACTGTTTTGGCATGTCGGCAATACACCCACTTCTTTAATCGTCGTTTGTTTGCACATGTGTGAACTCAGAAATATGAAATATGATGATATAAATGGACACTGTTTCCGTTTCTGTAACTGGTACTCTCTATCAGTTGACTAAGTTTGAAACACCTAACGTTCTGATCATTTCACGTGTGTGGTTACTCTTCCAAAGGCATATGGACACCAGGTAGCACGTAAAATGATTGTCAGCATAGGTTTCCCCGGAGGTTTGTGGATTGACGCACAATTAAATTTACATGATAAATTCTTTTAATCTGCTATCCAGTTCACACAGTCCGGGATTTTATACGGTGGGCTCCAGTAAATTTACGCAAAACTGATGTGAGAGCCAGTCCAATCTTGTGAATTTATATGCCTCTCTTAGTTGAATGATTGAGGAATATAAAATCTCCGGCTCGTCAAATGCATATGGTGACATACCACTTCGTTGACCGTCAGAACTTGCTTTTTCATCTGAAAAAAAATATTGTAGTCAATGTGGTTCCATCCCCCTTCCCCCACCCTCCCCCAAGTATTTTCACCAATCACATCCATTCCACTGGAAACTAAATCCACACCTGCCCTATACACAAAATGATCTAAACAACTAAACCTATCACTGCTATATCATCATTTTATACTTTTCATATCGCACAGATTTACTGTGTGGGCACAGCCATAGACGCATTTGGTTGCTGAGCTGAAGCAACTCTATGAAATATCACATTAAGCTAACCGTATTGAAAGTCTGAAACAACGCTTTTTCCGTGAACCGGTGATGCTAAAGCGCGAATGAGTTCAACCGGGATACCACTGTATTTTTCTTTTTGCTTGATCAATTGTTTCTGTGCTAAATATTTTGCACACCAGAGGGAAGTAGGTGCAAATGGGATAAAAATAAACGTTGCTAATTTATTCATTATATCGGTTGCGTTTAGTTCATTTCACTTCCCCTGATCCCAAAAGTTGGCACTGAATATTGAAAGAAAGCTGTCATGCTTTCTACAAACTGAGTCATTCTTTCACGATGGATGTACTGAAAACATCAAAACAGATGCCACTATTGAAGGCCGTTGTGTATTCGATGAATAAAGAAAACCCGTGACCCTGATAAACAGATGTGACAGATGAATGACAGATCTCTATCTTTTCCTTGGTCATGATTGCAACTTTGCATTTAGATTGTGAACCAACTTAATTCAGTTTGATTAGCCTGTGGAGACCGTAGTATGTTTTGTTATATTTGTGAAACTTAGCCGCTTACTTGTATAAAACCCGAATGCCAAGGAACCCCGGGGTATATATTTTGGTTTCTGATTATATCCAGTGGACAGAAATGACCAAAATGGACGTCGAAACATGGCACACTTAGCTCAGAAACATTAATGATCAATGAGATATACAGGAAAATTCCGGCTGCCACTTAAGACCACAAAGTTTATATAGAAGACTGTAGTGATTGAACAGTTTGATTTTCTATTAGTCATTGGTCAAATATTTCAAATTTATCAACCTTAGTGGAAATTGGTTGTGGAACAGTCTACTGAATAATAGTCATTTGAAGGAATAATATTTCATTGGTTCATTTTTTCAACCAAATGTCGGTCTTTATTGTATGTTCGAAATTTCGTAAATTGGTTATTTTTTATTTTTTCATTATGAGCATTACAAATAAAGGTGTTTCCTCAACACAACAAGACAGATACGGGCAGAATTGATGCTTGCTATCAATTTTGTGTACCGTAATTCAGCTAAAAATGCACATTTATGCAGTCAAGTTAAAAAACAAGTATGAATTTATATGAATCATTGGCACAAGGTGGTGGACCAGCCAGATGTCGCCAACCACGTGGTGTGACATGTCCTTCCTTTTCTTGTTAAGCAGTCCCAACCGACTCGCCTGTACCAACTTGTTTCAACCAGTCTACCTTCTGTTAGCGTTCTAAATCTAAATCCAAATCTGTAACCAAGCATAGACCACGCAGTTCACTTGTTCCCCAACTTGTTCAAATGATTCATGTCAATTCCAACCCTTCTGTTGATGACATCATTCTAAAAGTGTGTTTATGGATGAATAAAACCAACGCGAAATGGATGGCCAATATTTCAGTTTTACCCAAACACTTCTTTTTTTAATGAAATAGACAAGGAGAAAAGAATGTGTTGCAAGGTTGATCTCAGTTCAGTTTCACAATGCACAGCAGAAATATGGTACACAGCATGAAACAAGTTCGTTTTTTTCGTGATTCGCAATCAAGCTTGTATTCCTATGATTTGTAAGTCGAACGAAATTACTTCGGCGAAGGGAAAAATATCTCGACTACTGTATGATCAATCAACTGATTATGTGGTGTCTTTGACGGTCGCATTCGTTTTCAATTTAAAATCCAACCCTAGAAACCGGTGGTGTGAAGTTTCCCCTGACCAAATCATACTTATTTTGACCAGTAATATAGAGCTGTTTTGGTCAAACCTAAATGGCTAATTCACTTGAGGACCAGACCTACCTACAGCTTTTCTGTATTGAGCACGACATATAGGTTTGGAAACTATACAGCCGTCAATCAGTTCTCAATTAGAAGAAAGTGAAATGAAAGGATAGTTGCTTATAGCGACCATGAGGTCAGCTGAAAGTTTGAACTTGAAACACGCCCCTTTTTATGACAGATTTAGTAAGCTCACGAAAGCAGTTTTCACTGAATTACAACACCCTTAGGCCTACTAGAAAAGACGACAATTACAGAAAGCAATTTAGTGCCCCTTATGTTAAGCATAGCAAAAGTGTTATGTTCTGGTTATCTACCCAATGTGTTAGCAGTTAATCATCTTGGTGGGTTCCTAAATCTGTGGATACCGAACAAAGCGTAAACCTTATGCATTGAACTATAGATTTTGGTTTGCCTTGAGAGTAAAATTATTTTCACCATTCTCAAGGAAAATTTCAGATTATTTTAAGTGGTCACCTTACGAGCACTGGAGGATTTAGTGTTTCAACAAAATTTCCCCGACACTTTTCTATGTTCTTTTCTGAGTTCACCTACTGCATCTATCAACACTTATAGCTAAATGTAACATTTTTTTAATAAATGCGGGGTTGGAAATGAAAAGTTTTTAATTGGTGACGCATGGATCACATACCCATTGCCCTTGAGGCTTCGCTTTGTAGCGTCCAAGACTGCTTGATCGCATACGGACAGGAACCCCTGGGTGGGGATCAGTTGCGAATCCGACATCTGAAACTTGCATTCGATTCATATCCCGATAAACACGCGCATCTTGTGCTTCGTTCCGCGAACGTTGTACCACTTTTTGCACCACGTCAACTGAGGCAGAATGTTTGATCTTTTCGCGGCGTGGCTGAGGAACAACGGCAGCTTCTTCTTCACCTGTTTGTATAGGTGTGTGCGAAAGTAAGTTAGGGTCATGCGATGCGGCAAGTTTGACAAAATATATAAAACGAAACGCCATTCGGACTTATCTTCGAGATTGAGATGCCGTCGAAAAAGATTAAACAATGAACGTAATACAAGGATTTTATATGAAAAGGTTTGAAAGAGACTGGCGGTGGATTTTATGTAGAGAGCGATAAATAACGGTAAACAGCTTTTTCGGGAGTCATTGGCGACAAGCAACGCCGGGGTTTCCCCCGAAACAGATTCCAGAACTTTCGAGTTTGAAGTCATGGTCATTATTCATTCTGCTGGACTGGATATAAACCCGTAAAGATATTTGTAATTATTGGCCCGAATCATCTATCAAAATCCAAGTAAATCTGTGTACTTATATCTTCCCGAATTGGGTCTTTAATCGCATGCTCAAATGAATACTGTGACGTTTGGTTAAGTGTACTATCAGTATCTGACTTTCAAAGTGATATATTCAGAATGGAGTTTGATACCATTGTCTGCATCTCTCCTTATGTAATGCAGGTTATGCTACTAAAATCTCCTCGAAAAACACGAATCCATAAGAAATTATTTTTCTATCTGAAGGCAAACTTGTAATTTGTTGGATGATTCATTTGCGAAGTTTGTGATCAAAGAACAATTAAATTCACGCTAGAATAATCAAAGAAAGTGAAGATCAAAATCTGTGGTTGTATATTCTGTCTTCAACGAAACACCTATCCCCACTTTGAGCAAAACATTGCCCGGGGTGCTGCAGAAACACGATGTTCAGTTAGAAAATCCGCTTTGGTTAAAACGAGCTAAATCGTGGGTGGTTCGTTGTCCTCTTCTATTCCGATCATATTGCGTCGAATGGTATCACGACCGTATGTGAGTTCCTGTTTGGTTACATTCGTTACCCCAACATTTATAACAGTATTTTATTCAATTCTCCCCCAATTTACAGACACCGTGGTTAGTGAACATTATTTCCGTTCTGAATATGACTACTTTTGAGGTATTTGATTTCGCACATTTAAGTGACATACATGATAGGAAGTTTAATAAAGACAGCGGGAGAGCGAGAAACACAATTGATGTATTCGGGTTGAGACGTATCAGGTTTCCTGCGCTTCTTTTGTCTTTCACACATAGACACGTTATCCCTTATATATATATATATCGTTTCTGGTTTTGATGACACTGATTGTGACGGGTCATAAATGGCATCGCATCGGCTCTTTGACTTGTGTCTACTTATTCCCATGTATGGTGATAAATCATTTACTTATTATTGTCACTCTGTTATGTATTATATCTTAAAGAACCAAAGAATAGTGAACATTGAATACTGCTTCTTTATCCTCAGCTCGACAATTGTGGGATCACCGATTAGAAGGAAGAAGAAAATTTATGTCAATCTAATAATTATTAGGATATTTATGTGTACGGTTTCTTCACGGTAGATCGCTTTGAATTCGGTCGGTGTGAAATGGATTGTTTGTAACAAATGGATATGCATTATTCGCAGAACAAAGAGAGCGTAACCGGAAGTTACGCAATCCTAGTTCAATCTAGTTCCGTATTATTAGGGTTGTGTACTCATTTGTCACGTAGAGACTGGAACACAGGATCTTGTAGACTGAACGCAAGTAAAACTTCCAAGTTATACTCAGGGTTTGGAATAAGGCATTTAGTTTGGTCTTGGGCGACATTCTACAAAATGCATTACTTATTCAACATAAATCTCCTTCACCCCCTTACACGTATATATATTTATATATATTTTCTAAGAATCAGCTACCAGGTCCTAGTGGAAAAGTTGCTTCAATTCCCGAGATATACCAGTAAAACACCAGCAAGGAAAACTTGCCTTAATATACAAGCCTATTTTCGCTGATCCATCTACTGGCTAATAAATCACCGTCTCACACGCGTATAATTGCATAACCAAAGCCATTCTCATTCTAGCATGCGAGTTAGCTTACCTCACCTTGTTTGCTTATTGATCGGCTCAAAAATCCTTTAGACTAGCACCTTTGTACTGCTTTTTGCGTTCCAATACTGCCACCTGGAATTATGGACTTTTAAATCATTTTGAGTAAATTCAATAGTAAAGCGCTGTGTTAATCGAAAAATGTGTCTATAAGCGGTGTGCTGATCATCTTACCCGTGGAATAAAGCAAACCAATTTTCGAATATACCAGAATTGAAATATTTCATACATTACATACGGTCGGGACCAAGCAACAAAGAAATGAAACATTTTTTCCTCATGCACTGATGTCCATCAGATAAGGGAGCATTAACTTGTTACTCATTGTTAAACCTATACTTGTATTGTTCACACATTTTAGGTTGGTGCTGTGAACAGTCTCTACTAATGAAAATGAATGAATGCCCTGAGCACATCAACTTCTATTTTGTAGTTGAGATTGGGATTCGCGGAAAGCGCTATGCCACTCAAGAAATCGACTTCTCTTGAGATTTAGATTCGAATGGTATCGGACGTTATCCTAGTCACCGATCCCGGTAATCCAACCTGTAGGGATAGCAGTTCGCAAAAACTGCATGCGACATTTTTTAGCAAACTGCTGTCTCAGTAGTCGAGAGGGTTATAGACTCGTGTTTCTCGGACCCGGTGTGCGGGTTCCATTTGTTTCCTTTTGGGTCTCAACGGATACACTGTGTCAATCATCGCGAACAAGACTATCACGGTTGTGAAACACTTTCAATCTCACCGGCTGTGAGACCGATGCATCTTTGTACGTCTGATAACTAAAAATGAAAAAGACATCAAATCATTTCTTTGCTTACGATGTTTGTTATTAGTTGGTTTGCCAAGAAACGGGTGTTTCACCAGTGTTTCTGAAAGAAAGAAAAGTAAATGACAAACGATATTAGTGATTGGGTTAATATATTTTGTCCCACCCGAGTTCTAATTGTTTTTGCATTTCCGGACTTGAACATTGCTCTATATCCGTAAACAAAGAAATGCAACATCAACACCCTAGCACATCAATGAAATATTAGATACCAGTAGTCAGTTGAGTATCAAATGAGCATTACGTTCAATTGATGAAACACTAAATTTATTACGCTTGAACTGGAAAACCTTTGGCTACCTCGAAGGGATTTGAGCCCATGCATGGACGCCACATACGAGTT